CAAGGAGCACGATCAGGACTGACCACAGAACAACTTGAGCACTCAAGCAGGCAAAAAATAAACGACAGGTTTTGCCTGCCAAGGAGAAATATGACTTGGGACAAAAAATTCCATGTCTGCCTGAGCTGAATAATCTGCAAATCCAATCAGGCAGTCGGGTGATTAATGCACCCTCCTCCATCAAAATCTGGGTTAAAAAAACCACCCCTTCCACTGAGAAGCTCAGATGTCACCAGTGCAATGAAACAGAGAAGCAGGGAGGACAGCACAGCCCCCGGGGGGGCTCCCAGAGCCAGGCAGAACAGAATGGGATGTTTCCCAGTGTCCAAAATGCAGCCCGGGCGGGAACTCGAGCACCGTAACAAAAGCAAACAAGCCAGGGTTTAAATAGAAGCAAAAAAACCCAACAAAAACCCTTGAAAGGGAAAAAAACCAAAACCCCAATGAGAACAAATGTTTACCCTGATGATGGGATAGTTTAGAAATTATGGCTGGGCTCCAAGTCTCCAATATTTTTAGATTCCAAAGGTCTAGCTAATCTCAGCCACCAAAGCGGATCCAGGCCCTCCTGCCCCCAGCTCATGGACAAGCTGCAGGTTCAGCCTCTCAGCTCCACCAGAAACCCCTCTCTGAAGAGCAGGAGGAGAGTTTCCACCACCTGATTTTTGGGGCAAACCAATGAGGGCCACAGGGCACAGCCTTTTGTAATTTACCAGCTGATTCCCATGGGAGGAGAAACAAAGGCCCAGGTGAGTTGATTTGATTAACACGGTTATGGGACACAGGGAAGAAGGCCAGTGAAGCAGTGAGGAAGGTAAAGTGGCCACAGAGACCCAAAAATGCAGAGTTTTCCCCTTGATTCACACTGATAACAAGTTTTTGCTACTTTTAGCTAAACACCCAGATTTGGAAGGTGCTTTAGGAAAGACAGCAGAGGCCTGGGACAGCAAGGAACTGGGATCAGGGAGAGCCTCAGTGGCTGAGGCTGCTGCCCCGTGTACAAAGCAGAAAGAGCTCACACACACTGCTTTGCTCAGCCTAACAAAGGAGATAAAAAGTGAAAATGCTGCCTGTGCTCTGATGATCAGATTTAGTGGAAGGAAAACAAGGGAACAAACCTCTTGAGACAACCAGTGCCCCCCTCCCCAGTGCCAGCCCAGCCAGCCAGCCCAGCTTCCCTCCCGGAGTTGGACCCAAGCAGGGCAAGAACAAAGTCAGGTCTGAACTTATATTAATTTTATTCACATTTCCAGAAGAAAGCATCGGTGGAGGGCAACTCAAGTTGACTAGTGCCAAAAAAGCTCAAGTATTTGTTTGGTTTAAAAGAGGCCAAACATCTCAGGCTGAACCGGGACAGCGGGCGCGCGCTCCCTTCCCCTGCACGTGTTTCCAGTTCCAGGCAGAGGAATTTCAAAACTAAGCTGGCTCATCACATGATGGAGAGGATGTCAGAAACTTTAAAGCTTGCTGTGGCATAAATCCCTAAAAGCATGAAAGTAGCAGGCAGGAAATAATCTACAGCTGAACTAGCTTATCCCCTGGGCTGAATGTTGGTGGGTTAAGTTTTTTTTTCCCACTCCTTTGGTCGTGGAGTTTTGCTGCTCCAGCTTCTGTCCAACTTTAGGGCAATTTCTTACCCAGAGCAGAAATTTGCTGCTGCTGAATTACAGGGATGATCACTGGTGAGGGCAGAGATAAACATTTAACAGGATTCTCTACCAAGGAGAAAAAGATTGATGGCTTTGGATTTCAACAACGGGGATATGGGAGCAAAAACATACCCAGTTTAATAGAGAACTAAAACTTCCCAACTGCACTGCCAGCCCATGGGAAGCTGTCACAGCTCCAGGATGCTTCTAAGTAATATAAATAAATCTCTAGGTGACCTCTGGGTTCAGCTGGGCCTGGTTTCTGCTAACATTCAGCAGACAACAAACCCTCCCCAAACCAGGTGACATTAATCAGTTTCAGCTTCGCTCCCCACGGAGCTACAACTTTTGGCTTTTCTGCTTCAAAGTGCACGTTTCAAATGAGACAACAAGGCATGAGGTACAGTCAGAGGCACCTGCAGACCCCTCACCTTGACACAGGCCTTGGTCAGGACTGGGACAAGGCAGAGCTGAGTTGGTACAGGCAGAGTCTGGCAGCAGAAACAAGTCATGGAGCTACATGTGAGCGTGGCTCTCCCCGACCACTGAATCCCCAAGTGATGGGGCTAAAAGATGAGCTGGCCCAGTTGTTTTTCTGTCTTGTAAATATTTAGGATGTGTCCAGTGAAGCCACTGGAAATGGTTTTGCCCTTGTGTTCTGGTGAAGTTGCCTGATTTTATTAGAATGCAGCTATATTTGGAAAAGGAGTCAGTCCTGGATGTGTGCACATTCTTGCTTGCTCTGCAAAGACAATTATTGGATTACAAGAAAAGGCAAAAGAAGCACATTCCTCCCTCTTCTACCCCTACAAGGGTTCCTCCTTCCCCCTTGCTGGAAGCACAGCTCTCACTGTCACTGAACAAACTCCAAGTACACATTTTCCTCTTTGATCCAGCTGGCTTGGAAGCCCCTAGGATTAAAGATTTCTCTTCTGTTTGAATAATTTCAGTGACTAGAATCTCATTGCTTGTTTCACCAATTCTCTTCATCCTCTACCTATATATAGTAAAAGAGATGAAATAATGTCATATTTTGGTTTATTGCTGGAGGCAATCTGCTGTCCCCAAACTCAGTTTCCCAAAGAAGGAGGTAAAACAGAAAATCTGGCAGGATCTCCTTGCTAGAAACAAGGCAAAACTGCCCTCACCCCACCTGGCTGGGTATCTCAGAGGGGGAAACTGGAGCCAAGAAGGGCTCAGGGGTATTTAGCAAGTTGGTGAAGAGGCAGAATCAAAAACATCCAGCTCCAGATCCTCTGCTCCAGCTGTCAGGAAACAATTTTGCTCTGCCTTGAAGGCAAGCTGTGTCAGAGCCCAGGACATGCCACTTACAATTCAAGTCTTATCACTGATGTTGGATGCACAGAGCAGGATAAAGGAATGTGACTCTTTTTGGTGGATATCCTGGCTAATAAAAATGTATTTTAAGAAAATAAATTCCTATCTTGCCTAGTCCTTAAAACTGCATTAAATTATTCCCCTGCAGTGGCCTGGCTGATATTTAATGTTTCAGCTATTAAATATCCCACCACCCCTGTGTCTTCTCTGTGGAAGGTTTAAACTCCTTAACATCTTATACAAAAACAGAAATCATGGATACAAATTGCTCTCTGCTTTAACCCAGGACTGAAGGGCTCCACTGGTCTGGATGCTGCTCTGTTTACAATTTGAAGGAACTTGAGGCAAGTCACAAGGACCTTCTCAGCAGCTGGAAGGTTGGACAAAAGACATGGAGTGAGTAGGGATGGAAGACCCAAGTGTGTTCTTGTGTCACAGGCTTCTGTTCGTTCCCAGTTCCTGATGGCTCTGGGAGGAGCTGCAGAGCTGAGAATGAGCTCAACAGGGGTGACAAGTGCAGGAGGGAGCCTGAGGTGCCTCCAGATGGCTCACACCTCATCATGCAATGCCCTGAGGAAGATGACAGCTCTCCATGCAGCCCTGGGCTGAGGCTGCTGGCATGTCTGCCCACAAGGACAATGCTCAGGGGGGGAGGTCATGCACACAGGACTCAGCCTGGCAGCTTTGGGGTGAAAAGGCTTCCCCAGTTGAGATGGTTGCAGCTCAGCTCCAGAACAACAAAATATCTACCAGGGAGAGTGGCCAGAGGAAGGTCAGGAGCTGCCAGGCACCAATGGGAACACTGAGCAGAGCCCCAACAGGGCTCACCACTTCTCCCAGGGTTTGAATCCTAGGAGAACAACATGTTCTGGAAGGAATGGTGTGGGAAACCTCCACCCAGGACATGGCTGTTCCATGGCCATGTTCATTAAACTGTGCTCTGACTTCAACTGACATTAAACTGTGCACAGCAGGAAACACTTGTGCCTCAGCACACTGACTCTTTGGTAGAACAGACCAACAATCACCTGGAGGCTGGAAAGGCCCAAGCACAAAGTGTTGGTGAGCTTAGGTTGCTCAAAATGAAAAGCAAATTGTGACCAGGCAATTTGTCTGCATCTGAGCACACGTGCTGGCCACTGCTGGGCTCCCACCTCCTCCTCTTGTCATCTGGCTCACAGTGGAGAGGACAAGAATGAAGCCATCAAACTCCCCAGTGCCAGTTTGCTGCCAGTTTGTTCCTGGGCCAGAAGAGCAGTTGCATAAAAGCACTGACAGGAGAATCACAGCTACAATATTTATCCTTGCCTCCTGTAGGAGGGACCTTCAGGAGGGGGTCTTTGCCTACCCAAAGCCCACCTACACAGGCCTTGCTTCCTGCTCTCTGGTGACACACATGAGAACATTTTGGTCCTTACCAGAAATGCTTCAAGTCATCACTGATGGAAACTCTTTGCCCTGGGCAACTCTCTGCTCTGGTGTGAGCAGCCCAGTAGCCAAGGCTATTAGAATAACTGAGACCAGTAGGAGCAACTGGAACTTAAAGATTAGTCCTGAAAAGTTCAGCTCTTGTGTCCCAGCACTGAAGGATACAGGTGAGTTGCTCAGTTTTGATGAAAACAGAACATATGAAACATGCTGGTGATAACTCGGTTTCTCTTTCAGGCACTATCACTGGCCAGAGCAGTCAACTCACTCACAGCTTTCTTCTTGCTATTGCAGCTCCACCAATGTTACTCTGGATTCCCCTTATAACTGGAGGTTTCTTCTCCATCTCAAAGAGATTGATATATCAAAACCAAATGCAATTACAAAATATAATAATATCCTCTTCTTGGAAGTGAAGCTGCCCCATATTCCAGACTGTGGCAGGATTTTTATATCCAGAAAATATTTTTAATCAGTTCTACTCAAAACACATCTGAGTCCCAATCTAACTGGCATGTTGTCATGCTCACAGGTGAAGATCTGTTCCCTGTCAGCTCCTCGTGGGCTCTGCCAAAGGGCTCCTCTTTAGTTGTCTTCTGCAGACTTGAACATGAGAATGGCATTGTAGATCTTCAGGGCAGGACCCAGCTTGATACTGAGGATTTTAACAATGTCACTCTGGTTGAGGAGCAGGAAGGCCTCACCATCTATCTGCTGGAGGTTGGAAACAACAGAAAATCAAGATCATCATCAAGGGATGGGCAGGATTCTCACCCTTGGTTGTTTAATGAAACATCATGCTTAGATGTGAGGAATCAAAGTATAAACACAGCTCTGAAGAATGAACCTTGGTCTTTCTTGTGAGGGTCCCAGACATGCTGCTCTCTCCAAGGGGCTCTGGCCTCACCCACCAGCCCTTTTTCTACAAACAGAGAAGCTCTAGTGCAGGCAAAGCTTATGGAGAGACCATTTGACTTTATATTCACCAGAATTGCTCTGAAAAGCCAAAGACAGTAAAAAATCCTGTGGCCTGCTCACAATCTGGGCCAGAAATTAGATCAGGAAGCCCAGTAGATATGAGTCTTCAGGAGGCAGCTCTCCAAGAATTAATACATTACACTGATCTGTGATGATTAGAAATATAAAATCACCACTTCCCAGTGCATTCATTACACACTGTCACTGCACAGACTCTTTGACTCCTGTTAAGCTGCTCAGAGTAAAATTTAAAGCCAAACACCCTTTTTTCCCCCTGTATATTTATCAGCTCTGTTAAAAACCTTAGAGATGAGAAAAATTCCATAGATGGGAACATCTGGCTGCCCTCAAAACTAGTATATACTGTACCCACAAACAAGTCTGTTGAAAGTAGACACAACAGGGTGTTGTGAAATGGTTTTCAATGACACTATATGGGTTGACTTAGAATAGATAGAAAACAGCCCCAGGGAAAAGGACTTGGGGGTGATGGTGGATGAGAAGCTCAACACGACCCAGCACCGTGTGCTGGAGCCCAGAAACCACCCGTGTCCTGGGCTGCATCCCCAGCAGTGTGGGCAGCAGGGCCAGGGAGGGGATTGTCCCCTCTGCTCTGCTCTGGGGAGACCCCCTGGAGAGCTGTGCCCAGGTCTGGAGCCCCCAGCATAAGAAACAACATGAAGCCCCAACAAGGAGCTCCCAGAGAGTCCAGAGGAGGCCACAGAAATGATGGGAGGGCTGGAGCAGCTCTGCTCTGGGGACAGGATGGGAGAGTTGGGGTGTTCAGCCTGGAGAAGAGAAGGCTCCAGGGAGACCTTAGAGCACCTTCCAGGGCCTGAAGGGGCTCCAGGAAAGCAGGGGAGGGACTTGGGACAAGGGCAGGGAGGGAGAGGACAAGGGGGGATGGATTAAAACTGGAAGAGGGAGATTGAGGTGAGGCATGAGGAGGAAATTGTTGGGTGTGAGGGTGGTGAGAGCCTGGCCCAGGTTGCCCAGGGAAGCTGTGGCTGCCCCATCCCTGGCAGTGTTGAAGGGCAGGTTGGATGGGGCTTGGAGCAGCCTGGGCTGGTGGGAGGTGTCCCTGCCCATGGAGGGGGGGGGACTGGATGAGCTTTAAGGTCCCTCCCAACACAAACCAGTCTGGGATTCTATGATTAGCACATAAAACTAAAGAGGGATCACATGCTACATAAAACAAGGCAAAGGGAAGAAATGTTTTCTGCCTGGATTTACATACACTCCTAATCCATCAGCAAGGAGATATTCAATTGGATTTAAAGCAAGCAAGTGAAAAACATGGTAACTTGTGCAAATACAGGATGCTCTGGGCACTAGCAAGTGAAATGATAATGTTATTTTAAGAAGAGGTTAAAAATTGACTTGGGTTTACAAGAACATCCACAGAGACAACACAGATATAATTAATAGTAACCCCAAATGCTTCAGGGAAGAAGCCAGAGATTAATGGACACAAACAAGATGTCTCCCTAAATTACTCCATTAAAGCCCATTTCCAGGGACTGACAGCATCTCCACCCACTTGATGTTCACCAGTGCAGCAGACACCACTGGACACTCAGCTCCTCCAGAACAATTCTTGTCTCTACAATCCTGCCTAACTTAGGACTTTTCTGGACATCAATGACTGGTGGAAGAGGAGACATTGAATAAACCTGGACAAATATATCATTACAGCAAAGAGCTGGGAGCCAGGAGATTTGGTTTCCCCTTTTCTAACTCCACAAGAGGCTGTTAGGAAGTTACTTTACCACCCAGTTGGTACACTGGAAGGGACAGTAGTGCTCCCAGTCCACAGATGGCCACACAATGTCCCTGAATCTTATTTGCAAGCTGCCTGGAGTCCATACTACTGCAATGAACATGTTAAAAATAGCTTGAAACAAATGGAATGATTAAATTAAATAATACAGAGTCAAGAGTAGCAGAAAACTGCTAGAGAACAGTCCTATGTTTCAAAATGCCTCAGAGTCCACTATTATTGTTTCCTTTTCACTGCATTGCCTCAAAGATGCTTATTTTAATCAGACCTTCCTGAATTGGACATAAAAACAAGGACAATATCAGTGATTTATTATTAATTTATTTGTTTCATCTTAGTTGGATGGTTTTTAGAATTCTGGGTACAATTTGTTCTCTTTGTTCTTAATGTAAGCAGCAATTTATCCCTCTCCCCCCACCAGGAAAAGTCTGCAAGGGATTTATTTATCCCAAAGGGTGAGCAAAGCTACTGGCCACTAGGGTGGAGCTCAGCAGTCCCCTCACTCACATCTGAGTTCTGGCCCAAGCCAAACTTCTAAAAGGGTTTTAATTTCAAACCCACAACTTGATTTCAGCAGCAACCTGAAAAAAACAACCCGAGCCCCTCTCATCTGGCACAGGGAATCATGCTTGAAGGCTGCAGAAAACAAGATATTAAATAGAATGTGGCTCTCTGCTCTCTGAACCAGGTTCTGTGCTCAGGACCTCTCAAAATTATACAGAAGAAATAAAATACATGGAGAGTGATTTGTCAGTAACATCTTATCTATCAAACACTCACCTCTGACTGAATCTTCACTAGAAATCAGGATGAACCTTTTACATTCAGCTACACTGAAAGGTTGGTTCATTTGACTACATTTCATTATTCCCACTGTTTAACTCAACAGTTACATTGTGAGGAGAACTTTTTGCAAGGTGCCATTTCTTCTTCTTTTTATGTTGTGTGAGTGCCTGGTTTTTAAAACCAGGGAAAACAGAATACAGACATAAATTCCATAAAATGCACTGCAGCCTGATTCATCCTGAGAGGAAGGCAGCTCTGAGGAGCAGTCATCTATTAAAAACCTGCCCTTTACAGTTGTACAATGTGCAAGGAATTTCCTGGGTACAGAGGGTGCCACAGAGAAGGTACAGCCTCTTCCCTCCAGACCTTACCATCAGAGCAGTAAGGCTGGGATGATAAATCACAGAACCCCAGACTGGTTTCTGTTGGAAGGAACCTTAAACATCAGACAGGTCCAACCCCCTGCATGGGCAGGGACCCCTCCCACCAGCCCAGGTTGCTCCAAGCCCCATCCACCCTGCCCTTCAACACTGCCAGGGATGGGGCAGCCACAGCTTCCCTGGGCAACCTGGGCCAGGCTCTCACCACCCTCACCCCCAGGAATTTCCTCCTCATGTCCAACCTCCATCTCCCTCTTCCAGTTTTAATCCATCCCCCTTGTCCCCTCATTCCTTGCCCTTGTTCCAAGCCCCTCCCCAGCTTTCCTGGAGCCCCTTCAGATACTAGGTGTTTCAAGGTGCCCAGAACTAAAGGGGAGGTAGATCTGTTCAAGTTTCTCAGGACTCCTAGAGAATTTCCAAGTCGTACCTGCAGTGTAACCAGAAGCTGAAGCACTGAGAGCCCAAGTGTCTGTGATCCATGTGAGGACACATGCTAAAACCAGGGCAGCCCCATCCCCTGCTGTGATTTCTCAGAAGCTGTGGTGAACCCAACAGAAAGAGGAACTGAGCCAGCCCAGCACGAGGCAGCAATGACAGGACATGTGCAGGAGATGAACAAGCAGTGTTTGGGAAACCAGAGCTAGGAAAGGTCCCCTTCCTGCTCTCACCTCAGCCATGGGGACACCAGCAATTCCTGGGAAACCCTAGGACTCCCAGCCTCCTCAAGAGAAGCAGGCATATGTGCTTCTTAGAGGGAACAGATGAGACATTCATTGCACCATGTGAACAGGACATCTTCCTCATGAGGCCAAACCTCCTGCACAACGATCCAAGACAGGATGTTCAGCATAAGCTCCTGATGGGAAGTGCAGGGGAAATCTGAGGCAGCAGAATGCAATTAGCCATGCTGGAATTCAGCTCCATGCTGGAGCTGCCTCCTAAATGCCACAGGCTCTGGCATGACAAGGTCTGAGCATGTCTGTGCTCTCTGCACTGACACCCCACAGCAGCAGGGGACAAAACCACCTCACTGCCACCAGAGCTGCCACAGCAGAGCTCAGGGCTGGGCCAGACTGGACTTACCTCATCCCTGAAAACAGATGCTTGCTCTTTGCAACCAGGTAAGCGCTGGACAAAGCTCACCACCTGGAGGTATGGGGGAGAAAAGAGAAACACAGGTAATTAACATGGGCTGTCACCAAGCAGAGAGGTCTGATTTCTGTATCAGGGCTCTATAGGCAAGGATTTTTAACACTTCAATACTTAAAACTCTCCTGTTAGGGAAGGGTATGTATGAAAACCATCACTGGGCTGTTGCTGCGACACCTGCATTCTGGTTACCTAGAATATTCTGGTTACCTGTGATACTGCCCACACTGCACCTGACCATTTATCTTTCTGTGAAAGTTCAGTTTCTCCCCTGCTCAAAAGGATCTTTCTAAAACATCAACAATATTTTTACAGATTAAAAGCTGTATTTAGCTACACTGTTTGAAATCCACCCACAACTTCACTTTCTCTATGGTATTGCTGGAAGGTAGAATTGAAAAGAAAAAAGGATCTAGACAGTTTCCCATCATGACTCCCCTTTAACAGACAAAATAAACCAACCAAATGAGGACTGCTGGTTTATCAATACACAGAAGGCAGAGGAGCTGGGATGGAAAGGAGTTTTGGTTTTGGTTTTTTTTGCCTACAGGAAAATTGGGGAGGGACTTTGGACAAGGGCAGGGAAGGAGAGGACAAGGGGGGATGGATTAAAACTGGCAGAGGGGAGATGGAGGTTGGAGATGAGGAGGAAATTGTTGGGTGTGAGGGTGGTGAGAGCCTGGCCCAGGTTGCCCAGGGAAGCTGTGGCTGCCCCATCCCTGGCAGTGTTGAAGGGCAGGTTGGATGGGGCTTGGAGCAACCTGGGCTGGTGGGAGGTGTCCCTGCCCATGCAGGGGGTTGGGACTGGATGATCTTGAAGGTCCCTTCCAACCCAAACCATTCCATGATTCTATGATGTAATCCAAGCTGGGTGCACAGGATCCACAGAACCAACAGGATTAAACGAGCAGAAGTTAATTTAACATTTCACATCAGGGCAAAACCTTTTTAAGCAGGAAATCTGTTAACATTTGGAACAATCTTCCTAGAAACATGCAAGCAGTTCCTTGGATTACATTACATAACACAAACCAGCCTGAGGAGCAGCCCTGAACGCAGTGGAGGATGAGTTAATGTATATTGTCTTCTACAGCTGCAGCTTCACAGAAGATTTGTATGTTGAGGCATAATCAGATCCAACATCTCATGCTAATTGGCTTCCCCCCTGCAGAAGCTGTTCCATGAGCTGTACTCATCTGAGTTACTGCAGATGTGACACTCCATGAACACAGTGAGGAGGGGTCACTGTCAAACATTAGCTTCCCTGGAACTCAGGATCATCAGATTCTCCCCTAAATCGAGTCACTGCATCTCCAGCTGATCCCAACACCTGACTAACATCCCTTCCCTTCCCCCAGTCCCAACTGGGCAGGAGAGGAGCTGTCACTGCCTAGAGGTTCTGCTCTGCCCCTGCAGAAGCTGATCTGTGGTGAACAGCTCTGGCTCCCCTTGTTTCTGTCATGCAAACTGGAAGCAGAGCATCCCTCCCGTTTCACCCTCAGCTCCTGCTAGGAGGGACAGCTGCATTTGAAGAGGAAGCCCTAAAATCCACATCTCCATCAGGAACCAACTCCAGATATTCCTCTGCAGAAGTGCCAACTCCTGTTGTAAACAAGTAACAAAACCCTTTTGAATCCCCCTTCCTCTTTACAATTAAAACTTGAATGAAAATCCTTCTGCAGGGTCTGGTACCTTCCAGAATTTCAGAGACAGTTGGAGCCCTGGGGGCAGGATGGTAAATGCCCTTTAGTGTTTGTGGTATTGAGAGGCTGGTAGAAAGCCCTGGGGAATGAGCTGAGCTTGCCTTGCTCTTGTGACCTGCTCTGCACAACTGCTGCTGGTTAATGTCAGGGACAGTCAGTGACAGGCCTTTGATCTGTCCCAACTCTGCACGGCCCTGCAAGCACCCTGGGCTTTTATACCAACAGGAGCCCTGAGGTTTATCAGGAGTGGAGAAAAGAGAGGGGAGGAGGATGCAAGAGAACACAGCAAAGGTACCCAGGGTGTGAGCCAGACCCTGGGCTCCACTGAGCTGCAGTGACTTGCCTGGCCTGTCACTGCAGGGAGAGTCCTCAAACCAAGACGTGGCAGTTGAGGGACAAGGGAGGCTTGGGTGCACCAGGCCACACCACAGGAGCACCATGGACTAGAGAAATCATAGAATCCCAATTGGTTTGGGTTGGAAGGGACCTTAAAGATCATCCAGTCCCACCCCCTCCATGGGCAGGGACACCTCCCACCAGCCCAGGTTGCTCCAAGCCTCATCCAACCTGCCCTT